CTCATCTTTTCCTTCAGTTGTTCCCCTTGGATCTACCTCCAGAACCAGAAGTGTATGGGGGAGCTTGGGTAATTTGGAAACAGGGAGCATCTGGGCTAACTTCGCGCTCTTCTTTTGTTTCTATGTGTAAATAAATGCAAACTTCTAATAAAGAATGACCTTGTCCAAGACCACACAGTAGCAAAATGAGCTAAAACCCTGTACTGAAGAGTGGTCAGGTATTGCTAAATCCTGCAGCCTTGGAAATACAGGTGACTTTAGAGCTATTTGTTATTTTGCTTTTAATATTCAGCATGTTGAAGAATTCTCTACTGGAGGAGTCTTGCTTAGAGTCAAAAAACACCATTTCTGTTAGGGCTGAAAAAGCCAGACTCTTAGTCTATATTTGTCAGGATCTAGTAAAGAACACAGAGACAACAGGGCTGGAGAGATAAAGATAGACTTTATGTGGAATCCCCAGAATCCACATAAAGTCGGGCACAGTAGTACATATCTGAAACCACAGTGCTCCTTAAGAGAGGTGAGACGTGGAAATGGGAGAATTCCCGGAAGTCTGTAGGCCAGCTAGATTGAGGTGCACAGGAGTAAGTTCAAGAAACCCTGTCTCAAACAAGGTAGGATGTCTTGGTGTCATGGTCTGTATGTAAGAGCGCTTAAGAACACTCAAGTATGTGTGATACACACATAGAAAATGAGCAAATAACACACACACAAACACACACACACACACACACACAAAGTTATTTTAAACATGGGGTTTCTAGTTGCATGTTGGAGAGTAGGAAGAAGAAAGGGAAGTTGAGGTTTTCTTACTTCCAGGATTGGAAGCAGAGGGATCAGTAAGTTCAACTGGAGCTAACATTCATGGAAGAATAGGCCATGGGATATGTATACCTCGACTCTGTCTTCTAGAATGTGTTGTGACTGAACTCTGAGAACACTAATGTTTTTGGATTACTGGGTGGAGATGTATGCTAACCTAGAGATGGTATCTATGGAAAAACACAGGGAAGCAGGTTTGAAGGATGCCAGAAAGAGCCAGTATAGGGACATCTAACATGCAGAGTCCCATTCACAACACCACAGAGAAGATGGGCTTGTTGCTGAGAGACAGTAGGTAAGTACTCAGCACATTCACTCTCTCAGCCTCCCTTGCAGCTAAGAGGAAATAAGTACTCAGCATATTCACTCTCCCAGCCTCCCTTGCAGCCAGGAGGAAATAAGTACTCTGCAATTCACTCTCTCAGCCTCCCTTGTAGCTAGGTGGAAATGAGTACTCAGCACATTCTCTCTCCCAGCTTCCCTTGCAGCTAGGAGGAAATAAGTACTCAATGCAGATGATCGATCAGTCAGACTCTCCCATCTCAGATACTGTTATAATTTGAATTTTTTGTAAGAATCTCACTATGTACCTCAAACTGTTCTAAAAATCCTCTGTGCATCCTAGGCTGGCCTCAAACCCTCTGAATCCCCCACCGCCACCCCCATCTCACCCACCGAGTGCTGTGGTTATTGATACATGCTGCCATACTGTACTCTGATATGCTCTCAGTAAGTTTTACCAACTGCAGAGAACATCTCTTTCAATTAATACGTTTATACTTTGGCTCATTCCTGACTCTTTCTGTGAATTTTTGCTCTGAAGAGCCATATCTATCTTTCCTGTTACATGCTGACTAGCTTAGAGTTCATCATACACAATTCACTGTGTTTTCCATATGTACAATTTCTCTTCTTCTTGCCTCTGATTTCTTCCTTATTATCTACACTAGTGTGTTACCATATCAGGTGAAATGAACACACAATCGGTATTATTTCTAATTCCGTGATAAAAGGACATGAAGATGTCAGAAGTGTGATACCCTCGGATCCACTTGATTCAAGTCTAGGGAGAATCACCTACTTCTCTCAACCTCCTAATCAAAGTGAATGCCTTCTTTAATCCAGGCTGGGGGTAGCGTTAGCACACATCTTTAATCTTAGCACTCAAGAGGCAGAGACAGGCGGAGCTCAGAGTTCAAGTCTTCCCTGCTTTCGAGACCAAGTTCCACAACAGCCAGGGCTATCTAGAAAGATATTGTCTAAATTAATTCATTATAAATTAATAAGTTTTAAATGGATGGATGGTCTAGTGATGGATAAAAATGTATAGATGGAGGAATCACTAAGAATTTTCATGACAAGCTCACTGGGCGATCCACGAAGCTTCATGTACCACTATATATGAAGAAAATTACATTTAAATTCATTGTCACGATAAACAAAGATCTGGAAAGAAATAATGCCTCCATTTTCATCAGAAACAAAAGTCTATCAGAAAGTATTAGAATATATAGTCAAATCGATTAAAGAGGAAAAGGCTAATAAATAATAATGCTGAATTCAGAGATTCAGAGTAACTATTCTCCAAAAGTAAAGACAACAGGAGCTGGAGATACGACCCAGCGGTTGAGAGAACTTGCTACTCTTGCAGGGGACCTAGGTTTAATCCACAGCACCCACACTGTCAGCTCGCAACTGTCTGTAACTCTAGTTCCAGGGCATACAATGTCCTCTTCTGGTCTCTTCATGTACCAGGTATAAATGTAGTGCACAGACACATGCACAGGCAAAACATCCATTGTACACACAACATTTTTTTAATTAAAAAATTAATCCTCGTAGGTTTAAAAGTATTCAGAGTAAATAAGTAAATAATCAGGTGTAGTGGCACAGAGTTTTAATCCCAGCACTCAGAAAGCAGAGGCAGGTGGCTCTCTGTGAGTTTGAGACCAGCCTGGTCGACAGAGCAAGTTCCAGGTCTGCCAAGGCCATACAGTAATACCCTGCCTCAGAAATAAATAAATAAAAATAAGTAATAAAATATTTACTATTTAAATTAAATTAAGATATTTATATATAATAAATAATAAAATAATAAATGAAAATAATATGTTCACAATAAAACCATAGCCAGGCATAGTGGCACAAACCTTTGACCACAGCACTCAGGAGGAAGAGGTAGGCAGAACTTTTGAGTTCCAGGCCAACCTAGTTTATACAGTGAGGCCCTACCCCAAAAATACATAAATAAAGACAAAAACTCATATCAATAATAGCTATTATTATGATATATGAAGAACTCCTGAAATTCAATAACACAAAAATAATACAGTGAGAAAATTCTCAAAAGATATGGCTGAGAATATAATTCAGGGGGCAGAATTCAGGAGATCTGGATTTAATTGTCCATGCCACAAAACAAAAAATAGTGGAGGAAAGGAAAAATGAACAAAGACCCCAAAAGGCATTTTTTTTTTTTTACAAAAGGACACATTGGTTTTAAAAAGTAAACATGTGGGGTTTGAAATCTTTTTTCTTAAAAAAAAAATTAAAAAACAGGGTTTTATATCACCTAGGTTGACCTTTAACCTGCAACTTAGCCAAGGACGACCTTAAACTTGTACTCTTTCTGCTCCAACTACCAAGTACCAGGATTGCATAAACCACACCTTGTTTTTATTCTGAGCTTTTGTTATTTCTGCTTAAATACACTGGATTTGCTCCTTTTCTGACCAGGTGACAATTTCTAGCTTTTAGAGTAAGTGCATGTTGTTCCCATAATTCCCTGGAAGCACCCAGGTGTGAAGACAGCTCTTGACAGTACAGTCAATGTAAGCTCAGTGTAAGAGACTTGAAAAAGGTCTCTTTAATAAATGACTGGCATGAATCACTAGAACTGTACAGATCAGGGACACAGCCGTGGCTCTGAAACTTGCCCTCCACATGACTGGGGCCACAGTAGTTTAATCTTCTTGCTTTGTTACAAAACGGAGTGCTTCTGTATTTTTTCTGTTGCTATAACAAAACACCTGAGACTGGATCCCTTATTTTAAAAAGAGGTTTACTTAGTTCAAAAAAAATTGGAGGTGGTCCGTCAGCTTGACTTTCAATGAGAACCCCACCCCCACTCCAATCAACTGTCACAGGATGGCTGGTGACATTATGTAAGGGGTATTTTGAAAAGAAAGAGAACATATAGCAAGATAGAAAGTCAGAGAAGCTTAGGTTTGCTATTCTTAAGGATTTATTTTACTTTTAATTATGTGTGTGTATGGGGGAGGGGCTGTTCTTGTGTGTACAGAAGCCCGCAGAGGTTAGAGGTGTTGGATTCTTTCAGAGCTGAAGTTACAGGAAGTGTGGGCTGCCCAACTTGGATGCTAAGAACCCAAGTCAGGTCCTGTGCAAGAACAGTACACACTTTAGGGGGCTGGAGCGATGACCCAGTGGTCAAAAGCACTAGCTGCCTTCCAGAGATCTAGGTTCAATTCCCAGCCCCCACACAGCAGTCCATAACCATGTGTAATTCCAGTCCTAGGGGATCCAGTACCTGTCCCTGGCTTCCATGGGTACCAGACAGACATGGGCTACAGACATACATACAGGGAAAACACTCACTCACATAAAAATAAACACTTAACCACAAAAACCGAAACAATCTGCGCTCTTAACTGCTGAGCCACCCCTTCAGCCCCATGGCTTCTTTCTCTTTTCACACCAGTTCACTCTTAGGGGAACTAACTGAAGTCTCACGAGAACACTAGTCTCTTTCAAAAACAGCACCTCCAGAGTACCTTGCACTACGTTCCACCTGTTGGAGATTCGACCATCTCTCTACAGTGCCACCTTGAGGACCATGTTTCCAAGACGTGGACCCCCTTGTTGACACCCTCACACCATATCCAAATCTTCCGGGGTTCCTGTGAAAACTTCACAGACAAACAGTGTGTGGTATTTCGTGCGGTGCTTGGAAACCCAGAGGCACACAGCCAGTAGTAACTGCTGCTCCGTTCCTGTTGCGGGGAGCTTCTACACTGAAGCGGTGGTGCGTTGGCTTTGGAGGCCAGATCAGATATGTCCAGGAAGAAAGAAACTGGGCTGTGCCAGAAGCAGCCAGTCAGGTGCAGAGCAGCAGTTAGGGGTGAGCGAGCAGGATTTGGGGTCAGCCCCTCCTCTTACTCTCCTTTCTCTCTAAAGGAGACAGCCCCAGGCTGGGCCACTGTTGACGGACGCCATGCAGCTCCAGGCCTCCTTCTTCTTTTTCCTGATGCTCATCTTCTGCCAAGAGCTTTGCTCAGAACAAAGAAAAGGTGGGTATGGAACGGAGGTCTCAGTGTAGAGCAGGAATCCAGTAGAGGCTCTGCACTCAGGGTCTGATTCTGATCTAGCAGGATAGGGAGCCAGTTCAAGTCATCGACAGACATGGTCTGCTATGTGCCAGGCACCGTTCTAGGAGTTGAGTTACAGCCACCAGCCAAAGACACTTTACAGAGTTTAAATTCTAGTGGGGGAACAAAAGGCATATAGCATCTGTGTTTGCACAGTAGACAGTGAAGGAGCCATAGGAAAAAGAAAAGGCCTCATGGGGAAATGGGCTTTAAAGTTTGGATCTGTGATGGCCAAAGTTAGACTGGGGGGGGGGGATGTAAACTGGAATTTGATATGGAGAGAATTAGCTCAGTGAACCTCCCTTCGGGGCCAGGCTCCTTCCTCAGCCATCTCTGCTGCAACTTAAAAGGTGGCTATGGGGAGATGATTTTTCCTGAATTACACCACACTCATCACAGCTCAGTGGGGGAGCACTTTTTAGCATGCACAAGCCCTGGATTCCCAAGTCAACAGCATCAGCTGTCAGATGTTGGCTCCGCTAATTAGAAGCCCCGGGTGTGTTGTTTGGGTTTAGTCTCTCTCAGAATGTCAGTTTCTTCCTCTAAAAGATAAGGGTAACTGTGTCTGCTTTCTTGATCAAATCTGATGTGTATAAATGTGGTAGTGTAACTGCTCTCAATGGCTCCACATGCAAGACTTTAGTCACATTTAGAACACACACACACACACACACACACACACACACACACTGTTACGTCCAAAAGTAAATGATTAAGTGATTTCCTCTTGGCTTTAATAGAATCGATGAAGAGGAAAACCAAGACTGAGAAGTTTAAAAGCAGGTGGGACTCCACCTTCTATTGGGTTTCTTGGGTTAAGGAGGATGCTACTGTGACCAGGATGTCTTAGGAACATGCCAGCCTCCTCCCTCCCCATACACGCACACGCACACACACACACACACACACATACACACACGCGTGCACATTTGTTTCCATCTTGACTGGATAAACTCTTTAGCTCTTTCCATTACTGTTTGTACTAGCGCTAGCCTTACAGGACGTAGACAAGAGAGAACCTAAACCTTTCCCTGACTAGGCTGCTGCTAGCATTCCATCAAAGATGTGTTCATCCACCCAAGGTGTGCTCATCCACTCAAGGTGTGCTCATCCACCCATTCATTCTACAATAAAGAAGACAGGATGAGAGTCTGCAGACCTTTGTTATGGACTGTGCTGGCTTTGTGTGTTAGTACCCACCTCCCATCATTAGGCACGCATTTCCCTGACTGCACTTTCTTCACATAGCATTATAAGAAAGGAAAGGAAAAGAAAGGAAGGGAAGGGAAGGGAAGGGAAGGGAAGGGAAGGGAAGGGAAGGGAAGGGAAGGGAC